TCCGATCCAGCTGCTGCTGAAACTGACCAGCAGCAGCTGAATCAGGGACGCCTGGGGCAGAGCCGGACTATCGTAAGGGGGGGCTACGAGGGGTCTGGGGTGGCATCCCCTCCCATCCCCTCCCGGACCACTTCTGATAGTCCGGCATATCTGATAATCCGGCACCCCCTGGGTCCTAAAGGTGCCGGATTATCGGAAGTTTACTGTATTAGTTATCTTGGATAAAGCTGAGATAAGGCTACCATCAGTAGTAACTGTTTTTAAGAAGTACTATCCTGAAATACCTACTAATGAGGACAATGGAAAGGTCATGCATACAAGAATGAATTGCCTATTATAGATTGAACCTCTCTGGTCCAGCAACATCCGTCCAGACACCCTGGACCAGAGAGCCCTGGGCGGGGCCAGCTAGTTATCTTGGATAAAGCTGAGATAAGGCTACCATCAGTAGTAACTGTTTTTAAGAAGTACTATCCTGAAATACCTACTAATGAGGACAATGGAAAGGTCATGCATACAAGAATGAATTGCCTATTATAGATTGAACCTCTCTGGTCCAGCAACATCCGTCCAGACACCCTGGACCAGAGAGCCCTGGGCGGGGCCAGCAGCAGAGAGTAGAACCAGGAGCCTGCAGGAGACCTGCAACCTGGAGGCAGGAAGCCCAGAGACAGGGCCAGCAGCAGAGCCAAGGGGCCAGGAAGGGAAACCAGCCAGGTCTGCTGATGGATCTGGGAGAGCCTGGAATCCATGACCAGGGGAGCCAGAACTGATTTCCCCAGGTCTGACAAACTCCCCCCTTTTTTTCCCCTATTTATTTTGTGTCTGCACATCCTAAACTCAAAACTCCGGTCATCTGAAGAAGTGGGCTGTGCCCACAAAAGCTCATGATACCATCTACATGTTTTGTTAGTCTACAAAGTGCTACTAGATCATTTGCTGTTTTTTAAGTTTATCCTGTACAGACTAACTCGGCTATCCCTTGAAGCTTTCCTTCTTAGGGACCAGTCAGGTCCCTAGGTTGCCAGCAGTGTTCCCTCTAAGCTGCCTGGCAGCACAGCTTTACAGGTGATTAATCAGCCCCGCCCAGTCTGAGGCTCAGGATTCCCAGCACAGTTGACTGACTGAGCAGGGTTGATTAATCACTTGTCAAGCTATGCTGCCCTGCACCTTAGAGGCAACACCTGCAAATCTCTTAGGATGATTTTTAGACTGTTTGATGTCACATGATTTCCAATGTGACATCTTCCTTGCATCACAACATATTAATGGCACATGTAGGATATTCAAATCACATACAGTAATCTAAAGTCACTGCTTGTTAAAATGTAGAAATATAATGCGTAAGATTTTTTTCTTATTTTTGTGTTAGACTCAGAATATTACAGTGATATACAAGAATTCATACTCCAAAATTCATCAGAAGAATAACCCTACAATGGCCAGATGGTGGGCCAGATAATATAACACAGACTTTCAAATTTCCACTTCTAATATTCTAAAGATAATCATAAATAACCATTTTGTTAAATGCGGACTGGATGATATCAGTTTATTTTATCAATTTGTTTTACACTGAGAAGTCCCTATATTTATTGATCAGCACAGAATGATCTCAGAAGAATAAAATTCAAAGACAAAATGAGAGTTGTAAGAAGAGCAAGACTATTAATACATATCTAATTTTCATCTACTGTAATGTGGACGTAAATAACAATTGTATCTCTTCCAAAAAAAGAGATTAAACTGATTAAAAACTCACCTGAATATTTCATTCTTGGTTGTTATTTCTGTGTCTTGACATTGCTTACAACAAAGAGAGGTACACTTAAAAAAAATAAATTATACAATTAACAGGACAGCTTTACTCATTTCTGCTCATCTCCCAAGTATAATATAATCCCAAAGCCTGCTTTTTTTAAAATTTAAGAAAAGGCCTCTATGTAACTGTAATACATTATGAAATGGTCTATTCTTTCAGGAGCTTTAGAAAAAAACTAGTTTTCTAGAGAAATAAAAAAGATGTCACCATTTAATATGTGAGATAGAAAAGGAGGACAAATAGAAACATGTGTGATCAGGTTCTGAAGTACTGGGAGAGAGTACTTTTAATCTCTTGAAGATAAATATTTTGTAAAATTAAAAATATTGATTCCCCATTCTTCTTCCTCCACCCCATTCCTCCTTTAAGGATTCTAACAGACTAACTGATCATTTACAATTACTACAAAATAAGATGGAACAGAACAATTAATTACTGACCTTGCCCAAAAAATAAGTCTTTAAAAATCATTTTATTATAATACTTTATTCCAGTGTATATTTTTCAGTGTAAAATATTTTTTTGAAAACATATACATATTTTTCAAATTGTCAGTGACACAGTTTAGAAGGTTTATGGAACACAAAACTCATTTAAGTATGTTCCCTTATAACAATTTATGTAAGCCACAGTTTGAACTTTTGGTTCCAACTAAGTTTTGACCCCTAGCCCTTGTGCTCTATGTTCTGCTCACTGCAGCATGTTGTTCCTTTTGTCTCCTCTTACTTATGCCTTTCTTTGTTTTTTTCTGTGATGTACACTAAACACAGAATGACTTCTATCTAATAATGTGCCTACTTTTTTTACATTTCTTCATGTCTCTCAACATTCATTACTTTTTGCTGTATTTCCCCACCATTCACCTATTCTCATGTGCCATCTCCTATTGTTCTCTCATTCTACTGCACTCAGTTTAAAATAATCAGAAGAACTGAAGCACCAGACTCGACCCATATTCTCCTTTATTCCTGAATAGTGACATGCACATTTTAGCTCTATATAAATATTAAACAATAATAAATTGTTTATCATAAAAGCAGTTCAAGTGTTATTCACAAAAACCCATTACTAATGCAATATATTTCATGTTCATTGAATGGCATAAAGACAGACCAGATTCTGATCAATTACATCAAAGTCAGTCAGGAATAAATCAGAATCTGGCTCAGTGTGTACATTATCAACTTACTAGCCTTATGCAATATATTACTGCAATTAATACAGTACTTGAAGAGATTTACATAATCCACTTTTGTCCTATAATGTTGGGTCAGGAAAGAATACAGACAAAAAAGTCATTACTACATATTTTGTAAGGGCAATTCAGGCCTTATGTCTTCAGTCTTTCCGGATTAAGATGCACCACATACAGTAGATGAGCAGTTTTTGGAATTGTATGGATGATAACATTAGTGCAGTAGCGCAGTTTTATAATTTCAACCACCGCATGGGGGTGACTAATCTTCTAAATGATTAGAGAAATACCACCTGAAAAATTTTCGAATGCAGAACTAAAATCGTTGTAATGTAGGGCGGGGAAGTAATCATGGGATACAATCCAATCAGTCAATCCTTCCACGTTATGGCATAATCAAGCATGCTCAGACCATCCCAATTTGTAAAATCCCCATTTTTAAGGACAGATTAGACAACCTCCCATGATAAGCTATTCCAGTATTTAATTATTCTTATAGGTGGAAAGATTTTCTTAATATCTAAACTAAATCTCCCTTTCTTCAGATTCAACCCCTTATTTCTTGTCCTACCCTCCAGTGGAGGTGGAAAATAATTGATCACCATCCTCTTTAAAGCAGCCTGAAGAGCTATGAGATGAGGGAACTTTGAGTTAATATATTTTCAGCAGTTACATGGTTACTTAATTACATGTATTTTAACATCCCTAGATCCCACTCAATGCAGCCTCCAGCCAGCATCAATGGAGAGAACTATCGATAACTACCCTTTGAATATGGTCTTTCAACCAGCCGTACACTCACTTTTCAGTAATTTCATCTGAACCATGTTTCCCTAGTTTGCTTAAGAAAATGTTATGTTGAATCATGTCAAGAGCCTCAGTGAAAATCAAGATAAACCACATCTACTGCTTCCGCAGCAGTAACCCTGTCAAAGAAGGAAATTAGGTTGGTCTGGCATGATTTTTTCTTCACAAATCCATGTTATTTATTACTTATTATCCTATTTTCTCTAACTACTCACAATTTGTTTAGTAATTTATTCCAGTTTCTAAGTTAGGCTGGTTGGGATATAAGTTTTTAGGTTCTCTTTGTTCCCATTTTTAAAAAGATAGGTACTATGCATGCCCTTCACCAGCCCCTTAGAACCTCACCTATCCTCCAAGTTCTCAAAGATAATTGCTAATAGTTCTAGATCCTAGTATGGTGATATGAACACATCTAACACATTTATATTTTTTAACTAATTACTTCCCTATTCTGGCTTGTGTTCCTTCCCCCTTATTAGTATTGATTGTATTAAGCATCTGGTCACCATTAACCTCTTTAGGGAAGACTGATGCAAAATAGCCCTTAAATGCGTCAGCCTTCTTGGTGTCATCTGTTAACAACTCAAATGCTCCTTCACTCTGTGTATTTCTGGTAGCTCTTTCATGTGAAGTTAGCACATGTTCTCTTGGATAGCTCATTTGAGCACATAGCTACTGTAATTCCTGCATTAGATGGTCATGCTTAATTTTTAGTTTCAGAAAACCCATATAATGTGCAACAAGAGACATTTTAAATCATCTTGGAATCTTGCTGCTCATCAGGATAGTGGATGTTTGAACATAAAAATAATTTTAATCCAATATTTATATAGTCTTAACACTAGAGGGATATATATCACACTTTACAAAGCACCAAAATCCATTCCACTTATCATAGACCAGCAATATTTCATTACCATATGTTTTACTGTAAATGCAATGTGATTTTTGAAAAGATTATACTAACTGGATCAGCCTTCTAGCACCATCTCTTGGCTAGCAGAGTACAATGAAGTGTTCGAAGATCATCATAAAAATAATTGTCTTTCTTTCAAGATGATAAAAAGACCTCAAGTACTATTTGGTACAGAAAAAAAGAAAATACACTGCGAGACTGCTGCTACATATAATGTGGCAGCCAATATCAATGGAATACATCTTCTAACAAAGTAAAAAATAAATAGAAAAAATAAAAAGATCAAAAATGCCACCTTCTAAAACACAGCTTGGAATTGGACAATTTTTTTGTTATAGATTATTCAAAGTCTACTCTTATTACCTATTGACACAAAAACCAAAATATCATACATTAAATATATATAAGATACTTACTTTGTTCATAATATCTAATTCACACCGTAATCGCTGAATAGCGCTACCTATTTTAAGCAGCTGAATACGTAACGAATCATCAATTGGCAGGCATGCAGCAACTCTGTAAGAAAAATCTGGAGAAAAATAGCATGTCTGTTACAGTGTAAGAAATAAAAAGATAAAATATGGGTATCTTTTATTCAGTTATCTATGCCTGCAAAACCCTTTTGTAAACAAGAAAAGCAAACCTGTACTGACAAAAATATACTCAGTATCCAAGTGGCACGGTTGACTCTAATATGTCAAAGTTTGCTTGTGTGTCAGGGGAAAGATAGGCATTTTCTGCATGCATTCATTTCTGGGTTTTTTTTTCTTTAGATTAGTACCCAGAACAAACATATAACCAACAACTGTCAAGTATATGAAATGCGTAAATGAATGTCATCAAAGCACTGTTATACCGCAGAATAAACACAGGCCTAATATACTTCTACTAGAGATGTAAAATCCTGGTTAATCAGTTAAACATAAGGCTGGCCAAATGTAGCATTGGTTAACCGATTAAGTGGGATCTGGGCAGCGGACAGCCTTCAACCCATGGGGCTCCTACTCTCTGCCTCATGCTGGGTCCTGGGCTCCCCGCAGACAGAGGCTGCTCAGATGCAGGAGCAGCCCCTATTCACAGGCAGGCCCCCCCATGGCGCTGGAGCAGCTCCCTGCCTACAGCAGGCGGGGAGCTGCTCCAGTCCTCCCCAGTTACTGGTTAACCAGAACTGGTAAACATTATCCATTTAGGGTGACGCTTACTGGTTAACCAGGTAACCGGTTTCGCTTTCACATCCTAGCTTCTATAGTCCCATCTCGTGGTCAGATGATTCAAAAGCTGGACTTCCCAGCTTTAAACAATGTTTAGACATTCAGGAGAAAAGTGCTAAAAGCATGTTAGAAAAGTTTTGTAACACAGTTTTGTTAATGGATCAGCAGTGTTCATGCTTTCAATACACAACATTTGTTCCCAGTAGTAGTCATGGGCTAGCCAGCAGGAAAAGAACACCTGTTCATTATCTTTAACAAAATACGAGAGAAGAAAATACAAATTTGCTGAAAACCAAGCAACATAATTTTACAGTACCTATTGGATTTGATGGAAGAGATTCGTCTTTAAGATTTTCATCCCACTCATGCAGTTGCCTCTTGACTCTTTCCATCAAGGTTTCCTTTCATTAGAAGAAAAGGGTAATTTAAATACATTTTTTCCCTTTAAAATAAAAGGAAAATGGGGAGTGAGCTATGGGCCTCTAGTGGACATTAACTTTTGAAAAAAATTGCATGAAGACAGCTTATATATAGGTCCACATATTTTAAGCTATTAAGTTAAAAATCAGCCTAGGTTTCCCATCAGGCAAGGCAATGACGCTACTCAGAAACAACGGATGATCTAATAAGTTTTGGAAAAGAAATTAACTGCCTTTAAAGGATTTCTATGCTAGGACAGTATCAGGGTAGCTGGTGGTAGAACTGTTCCCCCTCGTCCTGTGATCAGACTCAGTCTACTTCCTTCCACTGACTTCAGTGGGACCTTAAGATTTCATCATACAGGAGGTAGTACACTAATAACCAGGGCTGGTAGTGTTGAAATTCTTCACACAATGTATACTTTATTCTGTTTATAATTCTGGTAAAAACTGTACAGACTGTATTGGGAGGGAGGGGAACAGCTGATTGATTTAGTACTCTTGAACCACCAAACTCTGGGTGTCCCTAATACAGGCTTGCCAGATGGAAGAGGTTCACGTATATTAATTAAGGCAGAGGTAGAGAACCTTTTTTGGGTTGGGGGCTGCTGACCCACAGAAAAAAAAAATCAGTCAGGGGCCGCACACAAATTAAAAACAAAAACAAACAAACAAACAAACCAACCAACCAACCCCAACCACCCTCACTGACGTGGCCTCCGACTGAGAAGGAAAAAGACACTCCCCACATTCCCTTTCCATACCAGAGCCTAGAGGGGGCCCAGCCTAGTAGATTTTGTATGCTCCAGTCCCATGTTGGGGCAGCAGGGGAGGGGTGGCTGGAGTGCCAGCACAGGCTCCCTAATACTGGGGGAGGGGGACGCCTGAGCCTCGGGGGCCGGATCCAGGGAAGCCATGGGCCAGAGGTTCCCCATCCCTGAATTAAGCATTCTAACTGTGTATTTTTTTAAATTAATTAAACTGAACTTTTCAGTATTAGATCAACTATATGCGTAGGTCATATTCGGTGATAATTAGTGGTTTCTACTAAAGCCACATACAAAATCTCTAAGATAGCAAATAAAAATCCAAACTACTGATTTGGAAATAAAAAGAAACAAAACCAGATATTGTGTTTAATATTTTTGCAGTACATTTGTTTAAGTCTGTTAAATATATTTTAGAATACATGTCATTTTGGGTAATCTTTTAATAATGCCACAGTCAGTGCTTAAAAAGCACAAAATAAAAATAGATTATATGGTTTTGTGCTACCTAATAATGAAATATCCCAAAGCATAAAATTTAATATAGATTCCTGGATAAGATCTGGTTTATACTTACAGCATCATATAAAGAGTAGAGCCACGGTGGCCAAGAAGTCAAACTAGCACAATGAAACTTCCGCTGAAAAAGAAAACATAACATTTATTTTTGAATTGTAACAGATGGTTTATGTGGATCCTCTACAAACAGATATGGGGGAGAGAGGGGAAGAATTATCTAGGAAGATGTCTACATATTTAAAATGCCACCAATTGTCTGAATCAAAATAGCACCACTGTGGACTTGTTAGCACCTTCAATCCAAAAATCTCAAAATATTTTTCAAATACATTAAGACCCATAGTATCCAAGTTGCAGATTTACAAACAATTAAACTGAATCAGAGATTAAATTAAATTTAATGACAAATAAGAAACAAACAGGTGTAGGCTTTAAAGATACAGCAACACCCTCAAATCTAGTCAGTTTTATAAAAAGTTATCAATAGTTCCAGGTAGTTTCTCTGTCAATTTTTGTGGGCTTTTACAATCATGTCTACATCTTCCCTTGCAATATGAATGATCCCCTCCCAGCAACAGTGAACTGACTGACTACACAGGGCAAACAATGGGCCACATAATTACCAGGTGGAAAATGTCCCTTTGACTTCAGAAGAATGACAGTTTTTAAAAAACTTAACAATGGTAAGGATTACTTGTAAAAACTACAGGTAAAAGTACAGTAAACTTCCGATAATCTGGCACCTTTAGGACCCAGGGGGTGCCGGATTATCAGATATGCCGGACTATCAGAAGGGGGGGGCTATGAGGGATCTGAAGTGGGGTGGGAGGGGATGCCATCCCAGACCCTTCATAGCCCCCCCTTACGATAGTCCGGCTCTGCCCCAGGCGTCCCTGATTCCGCTGCTGCTTAAACTGGACAGCCGCCGCTG